GGGAGTTCCTGGTTCCTCAAGGGGGCTGGCTTTCCATACGAGAAAGCTGGAGAAGGGCCTGCCCTGCCTTCCTTGCTCTCTCTGGCTTGCACCTCTGCAGTTTGCTGGGGACTCTTCTGCTGTGTCCCAAGTGTGCCTGTGGGAGGGGAGGGATGTTGGTGCACCCTCCCCCACCCTCTAATGCCTCCTCTCCCTCTTTTTCCCTGTTCTAGGAACTTGGGTCCTGCTCTCAGCAAAACCTTGGCGCAGTTGTACTGTACCCCAGGTCCCCTGCCTTGAACCCCTGGGAAGGGTGTGAATGGAGACAGTCCCCATCTTCTCTCCGCAATGTACGAGCTGGGTCAAAATGACCAAAATTGCTCCAGTGGTCAGCAACGAACTCAAGTCCAGCCCAAGCCAACATGACAAACTCAAGTGCTTGGGGGAGCAGTAGTTGGGTGGCTGGTCTGTTGGCACACGGTGCATTGTGGGCTCTTACTAGGCACTTCTTTGCTACAGGTTCACAAGGGGGCCAGATGAGGAAAGAGCTTCTGTTGAGACACTTTAGCGCTAAATTATATCTTCCCCGAAGAACCATACCTTCCCCTGACCCCTTCTGTGCTTTTTTAAAAAATCTGTTGTTTATATCCTAATAAAGTTACGTTATAGTTTTCAAAAACAGGACTGCTTAATGGTCTCCAGTCCTCGATACTGGGAATGGGAGAGAAAGCAGGGAAACCCACACATCCCGTTCTCCAAGCAAAACAAAGGACTCCAGCCTGTCCCATCGGATGCAAAGCCAACCTCCCGTCATCCTCTCTGCTACTCAAATGCTTTTGTGGCCTGCGAGGAAGTTCTCCCTGTTCAGGTGAGAGAGAGGGAGATGCACAAGAACATTACTTCTCTTTATGATGGGGCTTGTAGGGGAGTAGGAGGGGAGTTTGCTGTAGCTCAGAAGCAGAGCATCAGCTTTGCATGCAGAAGGTACTATGTTTCCAGCATCTCTAGTTAAAAGGGTCAGGTAGTAGGTGATGAGAAAGAAATGTCTGATGAGACATCACTGAATTTGGTGGACCAATGGGCCGTCTCTAGGGCTCCGTATCACTTAACAAGGCTCGGAAAAAATGGCTTGCAGCTGTTTTGTGTGAATATGGTTTTAAAGGTGAAGAGGTCAGGAAAGAAAGGCGAACTCATTTCCCCTGTGTTCCTGATGGCTCTCAAATGGCAGGAGGGAAAGGAAGCATTAAAAATACTTTCGGCGTGATCACTGGAAGAATTTGTAACATTTGAAGACAAATATTATGACTGTCTCCCTGTCCAAATTTCAGCGTCCCACCTTGTTCGCTTTTCAGACTGCCCTTTCTAATTAGACATGGGAAAAACAGGCAAGGCCTCTTGCTGGCCTCTCCGCGACTGCTTCAGTGACTGATGCCTCATTCAGGGCTGTGCCCAATTTCGACCATTTATTAGTATACAGTCACTGCTCTGTCTGCCTTTAATACTAAGTATAATTTTTGCCCCAACCCATAAATAAAGCGTACAGAATGCAAGCGATTGTGCTAACCAGTTTTTACCCAGTCCTTAACACTGCTGTTTCCCCCCTCAGACAGCAGCAAGTGCCTATTGGTGTGTTTCTTCCATTTTCACCTCTCCCCCAGAAACAATTAGGAATTTGGGATGGCATAAATAATTCTCACCACATTTCTCCAAAAATGTATACTCGGATGACTTATCTACCCTTTAAATTGCCCCAGAAGGGAAGAGCAGTACTGCACAAAGAACCTGTACTTTATCTGACACAGAGGTTTTGAGCTTGTGGCCACATTTGGAATTCTGACACAGCCCGGTGGGCACAGCAGCAAAATGGCTGCCACAGATTAACTTTGGTAACGCAGTGTAGATCCTTGTGCTGTGGTGGCAACTGCTGCCAAAGCAATCTTTTTAAAAATCTGCACAGCCAATCAGAAGCCTTGCTGGACAAAAGCCCTTCCTGGCCCCACCCAGTTCCCAAAAACACTTAGCAGGCTCCACGGCACCCACAGGCACCAATGCTCCCTTCTAAGCTGTGGAGTCTTGTGAGCAAAAATTCTACTTTGTGAGCTACTGGCATTAAAGTTGTGAGCGAGCGATTTGGCCACTGCGTAAATTCATTCGCTCTGCAGCCCTCCTTCCTGAGCTAAGACAAAAATGCGTGAGCCGGAGGCTAAAAAACTGTGAGCTAGCTCACACTATAACTCAGTTTAGAGGGAACACTGACAGGCACCATGTTGGGGACCCCTGACCTAGTGCACTGTCCACATGATGATGCCACACTGTCCCTATTGGAAGTGGCTTTTCAGAAGGCATAGAATCCTAGAGGTGGAAGGGGCCATACAGACCATCTAGTCCAACCCCCTGCCCAATGCAGGACAAGCCTAAAGCATCTCTGACAAATATTCGCCCAGCCTCTTCTTGAAAGCTGTCAGTGAAGGGGAGCTAACCACCTCCCTAGGCAGCTGATTCCACTTTTGAACCACTCTGACCGTGGAAAAGTTTTTCCTAATATCCAGCCGATACCTTTCTGCATGTACCGTATTTTTCGCTCCATAAGACGCACTTCCCCCCCCCAAAAAGGGGGGGGAAGTGTGTGCATCTTATGGAGCGAATACTCCTCTCGGCTGCAGACGCTGCGTGGCTCAGCTGACTAGTCGGAAAGACCTGCTGCGGCTGCACCGGGGGATGGTGGCTATTGCCACTCACCCGCCTCCTTCTCTACCTCCATATAAGACCGTTTCGCCGGTCGACCCTGGCAGAGAGAGAGAGAGACTGACGCTGCACAGCTCAGCTGACTAGTCGGAAAGACCTGCTGCGGCTGCACCGGGGGACGGAGGGCGACAAAGCACTTGCGCGGTGCAAGAAGCAGAGACGCCTGGCGTCCCATTTCTCCCCCCCCCCCCGTGTCTCTTGCGCGTGCGCACAGCTTCCAGACCCAAGCTGCTGCACAGGCGCAGAGATGCACGGGCGCATGCCGGCTCCTTGCTTTACCTGTTCCCAACCCCTTCTCGCCCTTGCGCGCCTGTGCGCTCGTGTCGGTTCTCACAGTTAAGTCACCCCCCCTCCTCCTCCGGTGTTTGCCCCTCTCCCTCCCTGCCACCCCTCGCTGTCACTCTGGGTCTGGAGGAGGAGGAAGGGGGGGCTGCTCGTGTGAACACCCCCCGCGTTTATCCCCCTTCGGCTCACCGTTCATTACACTATTTGGTTCAGAATATTTTTTTCCCGTTTTCCTCTAAAAACTAGGTGCGTCTTATGGAGCGAAAAATACTGTAATTTAAACCCATTGCTTCGGGTCCTATCCTCTGCTGCCAACTGGAACAGCTCCTTGCCCTCCTCCAAATGACAGCCTTTCAAATATTTAAAGAGAGCGATCTCTTCACATTTAAAGAGAATCTCCTCTTCTCCAAACCAAACATTCCCAAAGCCTTTCCTCGTAGGGCTTAGTCTCCAGACCATCATCGCTCTCTTCTGCACCCTCTCGATTTTACCCACATCCTTTTTGAAGTGAGGCCTCCAGGACTACACACAGTACTCAAGGTGCGGCCTGAACAAGGCAGGATAGAGAGGGGCTATGACCTCCTGCGATTTTGATGGCACTGAAGGGAGAGGCTGTTAGTGGCACTTAGATGTGGCTGTCCCAACCCTTCACAAGGGCAAGCCCCCTGCAGAAGCAGCCCCCCATATGTGCACACTGATGGACCCAGCTGCCTACCTCTTTTGCTAGGTGTCACCATCCAATACGCCTGCACCTACTTGCCTGTAGTGAGAGTCTATAGCCTCCCCTTTGAGTTCATAGCTGAGATTTGATGCTCCCGCTCTTCATCACTCTACCAGACAACACAGGATCTGCTCCTTCCCCTGGCTCTGCTTAATGAACTTCCCAGGCTGAGCCATTGGCTGGTAGCTTCTAGCCACACTGTGCTGACCTAATGGGGTGTAGTGGGGGGGGGGATCAAGGCAACTGCAATGGGGGTGGGGCTGGTTCACACAGATATGCATAACCATAATGACTCAAAACTAGATTCAGCAGAATGTGCAGACTGTCCCACAGTATTGTGTCCAAGGTGACTGAGGTGGATATGAATGTTCTACCACTGCCAATTCCATGAGAATGGCTGATGTGGTGGAAAGTGCCGTCAAGTCACAGCTGACTTACAGCAGCCCTGTGGGGTTTTCAAGGCAGGAAACTTCAGTGGTGGTTTACCACTGCCTGCCTTTGCATCACAACCCTGGTATTCCTTAGAAGTCTCCCATCCAAATAGCTGCCAGGGCAGACCCTGCTTAGTTTCCGAGATCTGCCAAGATCCAGCTAGCCTGGGCTGTCCAGGTTAGGGCAGAATGGCTTATATGCACACACGCATAGGAATCATCTTTTGGTGTTGCACTCCCCCAGTGACAAATGCATGTGTGAACCTGCCCACAAGCCCACACTGGGGCAGGCAATTTGTATCCAAAAGCTAGGAGGGAAAAAACATCCTTCAGGGAACTCCTGAAGCAAGCAGGGGTGGGACAGATACGCTTGCCTTTTTTCTCACACCCTGTTTACAACTGTAGCAAGGAAACCTCTAAATAGAAGGGGAATGTGGAGAGAAACTGACTTGCATGAAGCAGTTGGGATCGGACACACACCAGAACAGAACGTCTCTCCGAGGGCTTTCCTTTTCAAACCTTTTACTAATTTTTGTACGTCTTTTTCTTTTTAACCAGAAAACAGACATGAAGATTTGCAGCAGGGTCCAAAGTCCTTTTCCTGGCTCCAGTATGCAGGGGGTGGGTTCTCTCTCCCCCCCCCCCCCCCCCCCCCAAGAGACAGAGGTTCATTGCTGGCACCGTCGTGGCTCAGAGTGGCCGTGTTCCAGGGTGAGCAACCGGTCTGTAAGCCACACCTCTGGCTGCTGGAGGCCTCATCCGAGTCATGGCTGTCGATGGTTCTGGGAAGGAGGCAAAGCTGCAGCATCCCTCCCTGGCTGTCGGGTAGTCCCCTTCTGGTCTCTCAGTTTTCTTCCCTGCCCAGGCATGTGTTTCTGCAAGAGGTGGGGAGAGAAGATAGAAACAAAAGCGATGCGAGAGAGAACACACTTGAATTCACCTTGGAGGTTTGCTGTTAGCACAGAGAGCTGCGTCCAGGGAACCTTGTCTCAGCCCTGGGATTTACAAAGCAGTTAATGAGCAAGAGTGTCTTTGAACATATGCAGAATGCCTTTGCACGAAGCCACCAAATTATCACAAGGAGGGGGAAAACACACATACCAGGAATTAAGCCCCAGAGCAGTGTGTTCAGCTTTCAGCCTAGATTCAGTCCCAGTACTTCTTGTTCCCCATCCATGCATTTTCCCCTCTGTGACTAATCTGCATTTACTTATGTTAGTCTGAATTGCAGGACTAAGCCTGGAATGCAAAGTAAAAAATGATAGGGGGGCTCTGGGAATGTGCAGAGTGCTTTTCACTCTCCCCTAAATGTGAGCCACACCACCTTATCCCGAGGCCCCAGGACTATGGCCTCTGATGTCAGAGGGTATATAACCTACTGCAGCTGCCAAGGTACCTAACAGTTCACTGCTCTTTTCCCCAGAATCATTCAA